TTACTGGTCCGTTTTACTTTACCCTTTGTAATGACTGGACAGAATCTGGAGAGAAAGCTGATAGTTCAGCAAGAACAGAACTGACTAAAACTGGAATCAATGTGGGGAGAAGAACAAGGTTAGTGACAGACAAATATTCAGTGGTATTTAAGGTGCACTGAACAGAGGGCCAGAGTTTGGTTCCGTTTATTTATCCCAGGGGCTTCATTGGGCTGATTTAGATCACTGAATGACTGCTTGATTGTTTGAGACAGGCAGTAGAAAAAGGGATTATACAGGTCAAGATCAGGAGGTCAAAATATGGATTGGTACAGTAGATGTCTGTTCAGGCATGGCTTTCAAGAATCTGGCGGTTATCCACCGGGGGAGCCAAGAATATGTTGCGCTCCTCCCAGGTGCAGAAACTCACATTAATCGGAACTGCAGCTGGTGTAACCACTCAGACCTGATTGCAGATGTAGTTGAGGTAGCAGAGAGTGACTTGACGGACCGCGACCATCAACATCTCAAGAAGGAATTGAAAGGAATCATTACATTATCTACATAACATTTGAAGAAATATAGAGTTAAAGGACAATTTTAGAAAAAACAAGCTTCACCTAACAGAGGGAGACCTTGTAGTTGAGTGCTAGAAAACGGCTTCACCTTTGGCCAGGAGGGAGAGAACTGGTTGTTTTCAGTTTGAAAGAACAGCTTAGGGCTCTGCTCCAGCTTTCATCAGGTCTCAGCCTGCTAAGGCCACAGAGGTTTGCATGCTTTGGCTCAAACTGATGCTGTCTACCCTTGGAGTTTCTCTCAGCTTTGAGGGCTATTAGATATTTGGACCAAATTTAAAGAAACCTGAAAAACTCTCACTCATTCTAAAAGGCTGAAGGGTGTTCCAATGAATATAATTGTATGAAGTTCTGAAGAATTGAATTTGGCTTATGTAGTTTGACTGGACATGTTTCTTGTTTGTTTTATTTGGTCAGAGCTGTGTCGTGTTGTCCTGGTGCTCGTCATGCCATGACCCTTTAGAACATGTTGCTGATTTAGATCTCAGAAGCCTACAGAAGAAAGTGCTTTTGCCACGTTAGCTCTTAGAAAAAATCTGTTTTGAACCTTATGTAGTATTCTGTGATGGCGTGATGGCCGTAGGGATAAAGAATATGAATATCACCATGTAGAGCCACTCCATTCTTCATATTTTTAGATTGAATTTTCTATAAACATTTAATCATAGACTTACAGTTACTAGATCTGAACAATATTAAGAACACAGTCTATGAAATTAAAACATCATCCATTTTTATATTGTCCCCTCAAGATCATTTAAGAAAACTGAACTATTATGTGTTTTATGGGCAATATTTTCAATGTTACTTTTTGGTTATTTCTCAAGCTAAAAACCTTAGTCTTATTTTTTTTTTTATGTTATTGGATCATCACCACTATCCTGGTGGTGTTTCCAATGGTATCTAACGATGGTTCCAAACGTATCTATCAACTGAACTCTGAAAACTACAAATTCCATCAATTTATTATAAAATACCATAGGTTGGTGAAAAACTCTGTCATGTTTGTAATGTACAGGATTCAGACCCAAGATTCAACTAGGTCAGTGACATTTAAAGCATTTAGTGTAAAAGCAGGATTTAAACTGTGCTGGTTCTCGGGCGTGCAGTTCTCGATAATGGCCCAGAATCTCCTAGAAGCAGAGGGACGGGTTAGAGGCTGCAGTGGCAGGTTAGAACTGCGGAGTTGATGAAGGACTAACCTGATAACAAGAGGAGCCAGGGCGCTGAGAGTCAGTCAGAGACAGACAGGATACTTCAGGGACTGGGGCATCCGCTGTTTGCGGGGACAGACCGTGTAGCGGTCGACAAACTAACAGGCTGTGCGGGCTTTCCAGGGGCTTTAGTTCAGGTTCCGTAACGGGGTCCAATAAAGCAGCAGAAGTACAGGAGGGGTAATCCAGCAGATATTTCCAGTTCCAGGTCCAATTTCCTGATGAACAAAGAGAGTAAAGGGGGCATGCAGGCTCAGGTACTCACAAGGGTTCAGAAGCACAGGAGGTCAATCCGGAATCCTGTTTCTGGACTCAGACAGGCAGGCAAATCCAGAGAGGGATCAGGCAGGCTCAGAATCGGGGGACAAAGACAAGTTGGTTGGCAAGCAGAAGGATAGGTTCTCAATAACAAAGGCTGGACTGAACAGTGGAGACTGAACCAGAGTGTTAAATTAAAGCAGAATCAGCACCGGTGCCAGGATCATTACAATGTTAACATTTTAGTTGTGTTCAGTGGTGTCAAAAGTACCCACATTCGTTACTTAAGTAGAAGTATAGATAAAGCAGTTTAGAAACACTCTGGTAAAAATTTAAGTTTCAACTTGACCTCTTTACTCAAGTAAAAGTGAAAAGTATGTGCTCCAAAAGATACTTAAAGTATAAAAAGTATAAGGTAACCTTTAAAAAAACAGCCAGATGCCACTATATGAATTGAAAGCTTAATTTTTCAACTATTTAGAAAAATTCTTTGAGATAGGGCCAAGGATGAGGGAAGTCTTGTTGGTCTCCATCTCCCGATACTCTCTCTCCTGTGTCCGACCTTTCAACATCTTTTTCTGAATCTGACATTGTAGAATGACATAGACAATTCGCGTTTGCAGTTTGAAGAACACCTGCTTACTTCTGATAATTTTCATTGGCGTCAGCACAAATTTGATGAATAGATAACCAATGAGTAGTTGTGTTGTGTATGACTCATCCAATTACACTAGTTTCCACTAGATGTGGATGGAGCCAATGATCTGCATTGGATGGCGCACATGACGTGAAATAAATATTTATAAACATTAAACCAGAGGCAACCAATTAAAAATCAGTTGGGTCCAAATAAAGAAAATCATCAACCTGTAAAGGTCCAGGACACTTTTAATGATCTGTTACTTTAAACAGAATTTAACACTGAAATAAAATTAGGTATTTATGCAATCATGTTATACACTCAATAAAAAAAAAAGAAAGAAATTGCCAAAAATTAAATCTCAGAGGAGTTGACACTTGTATGACTATTTCTGTATATCCATCAGTAGCTAAAGGACAAGGGTCAGGAAATGCTAATTCTGCCTGTAAAACAATGACAGCGTAATCGTCACTGTATGATCTTAAGCTTCATTTGGAGCTTTTAAACAGACTTTTAAAAAACTTTGATAATTTGCTGCTGTAATATTATTGATTTTTTAGAATAAAAAGCAAGCAGATCAAATAACAGAAATACAATTATAGAGTATTCAATATTGTAAGAAAGCACACACTGTTTCTGAATAAATAAATTAATGTATGCGTTAAGTTCTGTTCCATTTATGTCTCTTTCCTTGTAAGTGTGAAATGACCCATGCTCCTGAATGCACCATAGCTATCTGACGTTTGCGAATGCATCACTGGTCTGTGAACGCTGTGCTATGAAGATGCACGTTTGATTTTCCGCTTAAAACAAACCTTTGCAGTTTCAAAACTCACGTCGGCTATCACTGTTTATTGTCTTGTGTGAATAACAAGAGACTACAACAAATAAATCAGCCATACCTCAGGCAAAATGTTTGGATTTAATGTTGTTCATTACATCCTTTGCTTTTGTAAATGAATCTGCCAAATAACCACAATTCTTTTTTATTTAAACGTTTTTATATCATTAATATAACAACAAGTAGCTCCATTGGTCATATTTTAATCCGTTTTCCTCGTTGATATGCAGTAGTACACAGAAAGAGGTGCGCTCCCGCGACTGGGGATGCATATCTCTGCAGCGATGCACTTTTCGGCTAAACACCGGACCACGGTCCGCTAATCCCTAACCTCTGCATTAAACCGAAGCCAAGAGTAACGAGTAACGGTTGTTTTAAAAATGTAAGGAATAGAAAGTACAGGTATTTGTGTGAAAATGTAATGAGTAGAAGTCAGAAGTAGGAGGCAAAATAAGTAATGGAGTAAAGTATAGATACCTAAAAAGTGTACTGAAGTACAGTAAAGAAGTATTTGTACTTTGCTACTTGACACATTTCTGGTTATGTTACACTTTTAATATAAAATTATTGGAAGACATTTTTTAGGATTATTTTTTACTAAAATCTAATGTCAAGAAGACCAAAATCAAGTAGGGTCATGTTGATAAACTTGGAACTCTGGGATAATCTGAGCAGTCTGTTGGTCTTCGGTTAGACAAATTCCTAAGTGCCTTTCTGAGTGGCAGAGCTGCCTCGAGCAGCACGGGTTACAACTGGTCAGCTAATTGAACTTGCTTGTATAGCCACCAGGCTTTGGGAGAATTAGACATAGTGCCGTTTTGATTAATCTTAGATTACACAGGAGAGGGAAAAGTTGCAGATAAGGGAGCAAAAAACCCTGACAAAGATTAAAACACTGGTCAGACTTTGCGTGTCCTGAATTTGACTGTGTGGCTTTCAATACATAACAAGCTGTTTTATAACCTGTTTACCTCTTCAATGTCAATAATTCCCCTCTTTTATTTTGCATTTAAGCATTATGATCATATATAATAAGTTTAAGCTATACAGACAAAAAGATAACTCGTTGATCAATGGAATTGGACTAATAAATGTTTTTCTTAGATGTAATAGTTTAAAGGTAAAAAAGAGTGTGGTATTGATTTTGTGATGCATAATCAAGTGGTGACATGAGGTTTATTAAGCATGTTTGACATTTTCCCTATTCACTGACTTGTCCTGTCAGTACAATAATGGTCTGTTAGATCAGTGGCCAATAATGAAAGACATGCAGTGGGTCTCTGCTTATTTTGGTTTTAATCAACAAACAGGAGGATAATACAGTGATGGAACAAAAGACGCTAAAAGAAAAGCACATGTTTTTTATCCCCAGGAATTAATTAACTAAAACCTTTTCACAGTAGTGGAGAAATAACATCCAGTGGCTGCATTTACAAGAGTGGATCGATTTATCTCTTTTCTTCTCTCTTTCCTTTTACCTCTGCTCTCCTCAGGTTTAACCAATGCTGACACTGTGGTGAATATGCGGAAGGTGACTCACCAGACCATTACTGAAGAGCTGTCTAAAACAGTGCTGCTTCCCTGCCTCTTCACCCTTCGTCCAAGTGCGAGCTCATTCCAGGAACCTCCCAGGATCAAATGGACCAAGGTTTGGGGTCAAAGAGGCTCAGATGGCCTGCAAAAGGAGCAGTCGGTCCTGGTGGCCAAAGACAATTTGGTCAAGGTACATTTATTACAAGTAAAATATGAATCACTCCGTTGGGTTTTAACTGTCTCAATATACTGTTACCAGCATCCTTTTTTCCACATTTTCAGGTAAAAAAGGCCTTCCAGGGTCGTGTATCGCTGCCTGGATACAGTAAGAACCGCTACAATGCCAGTCTTGCGCTAACTGGCTTGCGTTCCAGCGACTCTGGCCTTTATCGCTGTGAAGTTGTCGTTGGTATCAATGATGAGCAGGACACTGTTCCCTTGGAGGTCACAGGTAAATAAAACACACATTCAGACTGTTGTACATACATCCTTACTATAATGTGGTTAAAATAAAAAGAAGTTGGCAACTAAAATTGCAAACTTCTTTCATCAATCAAAGTTGATCATTCTAGTCTTTCCATATGAAGGTAAAAGGAAGGGATAGCCATATTAGAGCTGCCACAACAACAAATTTTCTAACGACTAATCTTTCAACATTTTTTTTCCATTAGTCTACTAATCTTCACCACTAATTTCATAAAAAATCCTCACTGTTGGGGGGTTGTCCGAGATGGTGACGCCAAGTAAAAAAAAAAAAAAAATGATAAAATAAAATTTGATTTTAATTGTGTGTGTGTGCTCATTCGATAAACCTTCTGTCTCGAGTCTGGCTTCAAAAGCAGAATTATTACTATAAATGCGAGGGCATTGCGTTATTCAGTGTGTTTATCAAAACTTTACAAAAGAGTAGAGTGGGCCTGCTTAACATCCAAAGACAGTCGATCATCGTACTTCACAAGATTTTTAAAGAGCACATGCTAACTAGGCATTTAACAATAAACAGAATGTTACTTACCGTGTCTTTCCTTTTCAGAAGCATCCTCAACAAATCCTGTATGTTTCCTTTTAAGGTGCTCGTGCATCACGGTTGTACTCCTGTGATAAGCCAACAAACAATTACAGAGTATGCAAACCACTGTATCACCAGCTGCACAAAAGTATTGCCATTAATTTGGTAATTTGGATACTTCTCGCAGATGCCTCCGTCCTCGATTCAGACTCAACCGCCGCTGCCATTTTCCTGTCACACTCAAAACCAGAACCACCATGAAGTACCTGAAGTTAGATGAGCCATTTGTTTAGACAAAAACAAAAAGGCAATAAACAGGCAGACAAAAAAATTCTCATTGAAAAATATCCGTCAACAAATTTTCATTGTTGATTACTTTATCGACTAATCGTGACAGCACTAATCTCTAGCTCACAATGATAGAGAATGTTTTCAAAAATTCCTGTATCCTAATTATCGTCTGCATCATCACCAAAACCCTTTGGCATGAGAGACAACTCTGATAGATATCATTCAAATCTGTCCATAACTGTTCAAGTTATCCTGTACAGAGACAGACAGATTCTCCTAAAAATATAAACTCTTTGGTGATTAGTAATAACATCACAGAGTCTGACCTCATAATATATACTCATCCTTCAAGAAGACACAGGCAAGGCAACATAGCAAGAAGCAATCATAGGCATGAGGTAGGGAAGTCCTTGTAAATAAAACCTCTAAATATAGGAATATAGTCCATGGACTTTCTGACAAAAAAATTAAAGAAATAAAAAAAATAAAACTTCAAATAACCAGAAGTATAGGTAAAATGCAGAGATGAGTAAAGAGCTGGTTATACTCCTGCAGCAGTGTGTTGCAGTGAGCTTGTCGCAAGTATGACGCAGATATTTTTGATTTATGCCTAATTTTGAAACGTGGTCTGTGCTAGAGTCCTGCACGGGTCGAGTTTTACCAACCAGCACCCGCCCGAACCCGTTAGAATGACTACCGAACCCGACCCGTCACCCGTGGATATCTTCAATTCAAATCTGAACCCGACCCGTTTATATTTAACCCGCAAACCCGACCCGCTAACACATCAAGTAATAGGCTATAGTACGCTGCGCTGCAGAACAGCGCCATTAACACTGCAGCAGACATGTATGCACTGACTGTGGCCTTTTTGGAGGGAGGCCCACACTGCTGGCAGGGCTTTAAGCTACAACAAGGGTGACCCCAGTGCCTGATTAATATAACATTTCTGATGTCCATAACAACACACACGCATAAAAAAAAAATCACCAACTACCTGCCCGTTTATTTTTATTTATGTATTTTTCACCCGCAAAAGAGCATTTTGGCGGGTGACCCGTCGGCGACCCGCGGGTACCCGACCAGTTGCAGGACTCTAGTCTGTGCTATGGTATTCCACGCCACAACGCAAGAGGGACCAGCTGTGGGTCCAGATACGGTCGAGGCGGTGAGGAAGTAGAAAAACGCAAGAGGCAAGTTTGTGTGACAACAGAGGGACATGAGCACATGGGGTTCTCGCTCTGCTAGCTTGTCCATCTTCATGAGTTGTTTTCCACAATGGCGGTCAAACAAACAAAACAAGCTGGTAAGGTAAAGACTGCCTAAACATAACACAAATTACAAAATGAACAAAGGATCAACAAAACAGAATTATTTACATAACGAAAACTAAAAACTCTAATCAGCCAAAGGGGAGAACCATGACATGAGGCTGATAATTATCAGATGTTTTTTAGCTGTTGCTCCAAGAATCCAAGAATCAACTGATGAAAAATGACCAAAAAAAAAAAAATCCAAAACATGAATTATTTTAGGGACACTGGAATAAAGAAAACTGACTAACTAAGTGCAAACTGAAGATTCCCCTACAGGCCAAAAGTGACACAGCCTGTCAGGAGCAGGTGTTTAAAAGAAAAAAGGAAGTGAATGGAAAACAATGCGCTAAAAGAAACCTTGTCAAAATGATTAGGATAAAAAAAAACTCAGACTAACAGTGAAATGAAAACAAACCACAAATGGAAATCTTAAAGGTCATAATTGTCTTTTCCACCTACTTGTTACCATTAGTCCAAGTTGTCCATTTTAAATATATGTACGTTTCGCTCTGTTGGGTGATTGTTTATGATGAACATTGACACAAATGAGTGAAGTCATCTGACACACACTTCGCCTTAAATTCTGAAATTTTTCATATTTTGAGTATGTATCTTACAACTTCAGTTGTTGATTAAACCAAAAACTAAAGCTTCTGTCAAACTCAGGGACAAGAATGAGTTTTTCATCCTCATGCAGCACAGAGTAATTGGAGGATCAGAGGGTGTTTGATCCCATGTTTATGAGATTTTCTTTGAAAAATAATCAGAATATACTCATTCGCAGCAGCTTGATCGATAGGACTATCTTTAGTAAGCAATGTTTGCTGATTTAAAGAAGATGTGTGCTGATTTTAGTGCAATTATTAGATTTTTGCATGCAATCAGGTTTCTAATTTGTTTTCTTTCATAATCCTTAAGTAGATTAGGCCTGAGTATTTTTATTGGTGTCGTTTGTAATTTACACAACAGAAAATTAAACGTTAGAATCTCTGCTCCACTCAGTGGCTGTGAGCTGTTAACACTTTGTTTTCAAGGTCTGCAACTATGAATAATAATAATTCTGTTTTCCATGTCTTGCTAACGCAGCAATTACAGCCAGGGTCAATTACTGTCACTGCTGAATGTATGATGATGAAGAAAGGTGAAGGGCACTAGGATGCATTAAATGTTATTGCAAAGAGCCAGTTATGTTCTGAAACCAATAAGGCTGAAATGCAGTGATCCATGTTACACCTTTAGCTTTGTGTTGCACTTAGAAATATTGGTATTTGGTAACAAATGACCAATCACCCTCTTGGATGATTTCAAAGACTGTGTTTAAGTGTTCAAGCTTCAAAGCTGTTGCTGCACTTTGTCCGGATCTCTCACTGTGTTTAGTGGCAAGCTGTTATAATTACCACATTGTCTCGTGAAACGAAATATGCTTGCATTGATATGATTAACATCAGCGGCAAAGGATGCTGCAGTGGCCACTGTTTAACATGAACATCATCTTCGCTTTGCCTATTGTCCAAATGGGAATTAGTGCAGCCTAAAGTAACAGCCTGATGTTTTCTATCGAATTTCTATTGAGCTATATTTTTCTCTGATGAATTGGGTCTATTTTTGCCTCTGAAGTAGCTCTTTCTTAATCAAGCATGATCCCAACAAATAAGCGTTTGAGGCACTGCTACTCTTGGTCCGGCAGTGCTATTTACTATAAAAGAAACGGATCATGAAGTCAGGGTGGAGCAACCAGTTCTGGAGTTGAGTCTTTATTGGTATTGTTGCTCTAGAGCAGCTTTCGGTTATTCCAGCTAATTCTACAAAGTAATCAACCTGTTCATCTGCAAGTGTCATTACTGCTTGACTGTATCATTCCATAAAACTGCAAACTGAGAGAGGTGCTTTTCTTAAGGTTCACTGTCTTCTTCTGCAAACTCATCCTAAATATCTTTCTGATTGATGCAACCTCCTCCTTCCAGCTCCATTCTCCCTTCTCCTGCGTTCTCATAAGATAAACCTTTTTTTTTTTCTTGGATGCTGCTCAACAGCTACATGAATACTGCACATATATGACATGTCATCATAGTGCCGGAGGGTGTTTCAGCCCTGAAGATTGTAAAAAAGAAATTGGAATTAATTATTCACACATTCTCTTAACAAGACTTATCCATTTCAGAGCTGCAAGGAGCTGCATGCAACTAACATAAGTAAGAAGCAGAAATTACATAACTGAAATATTTTCAGAATATCTGCTATTTTTTTCCAGATAGAGAGCACATGTTGCACACTATGGTATAATCTTAATATTTACACTACGTTCAACAATAATTTGTAATTCTTGTAAAAATTGGGAAAAACATCCAACTAATTTAATTATCCTTATATTAAAAAAAGAGTCATAACTTTACTTTGTTAAAGTTGTCCCGGTTGTCTTCATTTTGTCTTCTCTTTTACTCAGCTAATCTCTCAGACAGTTTATATAGGTCTGAGTACTGGAATGGCCAGGGAATAAGTTTCATTTTATGTTAGGTTTATTTTACCTGTTTTGATCTGACCTTATGATTCAAATATTGTTTATCAAATAACATCAATGGAGTGTAAAACAGTTCCCAGTGCTTTTGGAAGATAAATAGATGCAACAGCCTCATAGTTCCTAAAACTATTGTCAATATTGTGTTTGAGGAGCTGTCCAACATATTCATCCACACTTTTTACCAAATCCACCTGAAGTTTTTTTTCCAGAAAAGCTGACTCACCTTTTAGATGAAGTGTGTATTTGCTCCAAATAGGGCTTCAGCAATTAATCAGATTGATAATGATTAATGGATTATTGAAATAATAATCAAAAAATGTAGTAAATGATTAATCATTAAATGGAGTATAGAGACTGTAAAACATGCCTTTAGCTGACATACCAACCTGTTTAGAAAGCAATGGCAATGATTATATCAAAATTGTAAAAAAATAAAATAAATAAAATAAATTTTGCATTTAAGATAAAAAGAAAGTTTTAGTCTGTCAATATACTCTATCCAGAACTACTCAAATTTCAATTACTCCTGGTTTAATTTAGCAAAAAAAGAATCTTCTTTAAGGAACTTTTGGCTATCCGATTATTAATCGATTAATCAATCAGTTTAAAAGGCCTCTGATCCGCACCTTTCTGCTCCGTGCGCAGGCGGCCGATGCGCTGTGACTTCATTCAGATGACACCAATTCAACCCATCTCCATCCCCTCCTCCACCATTGTAGCTAAAGCTTCATCAGAGTGTCATTCCTCCCAGACTCTTGTTGTGTTCCCTGTCTCATCTCAACCGGTCTGGAAGAAGACCGCCATTTTGACCCTAGCTCTGCCAGAGGTTTCTTCCCAACGGGGAGTTTTTCCCCTCCACTGTCACTTCATGCTTGCTCATCATCGACAGGTTCTCTCAACCTGTGTTATCCAACTGGACTTTCATCTTCCAGGTCCCTAAGTGAAGCTCTAGTATCAGCTCACGCAATTCACTGGATCTCCCGATAAAGCTGAGCAGACCATCTCACTAACCAGCAGTCTACAGACTGACCATCTTCATCTATCTCCACTCCACCACAAGTTTCAGGCCTGGGGAGGAAACAGCCCTGTTCTTTGCTCAAAATTAAGCGCTATGTTTCCTGCCGAGGTCTGAAGACAAAGTCTTTGTATCAATACATTTCTCCTAATTGTCACAAAGGTGTGAAAGCTTTACAAAGAGAATTTTATTATTTCAGCAGAGCCTGTCTGAGGTTTGTTTATGAGTTATGACCTAATATACTTAAGAATACCAGCTACTCACCATTCTTTCATGAGGGCATTATTCAGACACATATGGTGCCTCTCTGCTCTTCCCCGTAGAGACTGTCAGGATGTGCAGAGATGCTGAGGGTAAAAATAGACCTGAGGTGCTGGACATTGGAATTGGAACAGGTTTCCTTTATTAAAAGGAAACTTATTTGACTCTCCTGCATTTTAGCAATTAAACTAGCATCTCAGTCCTTAAAGGCGATGGAGGCTGAAAGTAGGGACCAAATGTGAGATGGTTTATACTCCATAAAGCTGAATGACCTGAATAGCCAGACTCTGCAGAGTCAGAGTCATTTCTGCTTACACTCTGTTCAAAACACTCCTGCTCATTTTGTGCACCAAGCCTTTAGTGCTATCGTTAATTTAAATTGACACAACAGCGCTTTTCGTCCTAAATGGAATCATGCTTTTTCAGACAGTCATAGAGAATTACGGTAGCATGTTTACAGCCAGAAGCGCACCAGCTAGCATGATACTGGCTATCTAATCTGGGACATAAAAATTCCGGTGACTAGACGTCCCCAATTGCCGGGGACAGTCCCCGATTTGGACCACCTGTCCCTGTCTAAAGCTGTCCCTGGAAATGTCCCTGATTTTACCATTTTATGAATTAGGGGGAAAATGTTGCATATAAACTCTTATAGTAGAAAGAGCAGACGAGGAAGCTATCAAAGCTGGCTGGATGCAGCTACACCCCGAAATCCCACATCCTCTGTCACTGCCCAGCTCAGCTCCAGACCGCCTGTGCAAAGGAAAGCTTACACCCTCTGCTGGTCCTTCCGTCTTTCTCCATTCCAACTTCCTCGGAGCTCGAGGAGAGCATGTGCTCTATTATTATTAAGTTTATAGGAGCAAAATACGCGGAAATTAACGCTTAATTTCATATGAAATATTTAAAAAATCCTCATCAGCATCCAGCATATGTGCAGCTTCTGCCCAAATATTTTCTTTTTGTTGTGGATTTTTTGTAACAGGGATGAAATTAATAACAGTTTTTTTTTAAACGAAAAGCACCGCTGTATCTATGAACAAATGAATAGAAAATAGATTAAGGATTGTGAAAAAATATTCCTATTAGGTTTCACTATAACCTTATTAAAGGACAGATTCCTTTTATGCCCTGAGAGCATCTATACGTGTAAAGACAAAACATGTATTTTTGGTGTGGCTGCTTCAAGCTTCTCATGAGAATGATCCAGATTTATAGATGGTTTTTAATGGTTGTAATTTAATCTGAATATAAAACCTGATGTAACTTTTTTAATAGAGACACAGATTTTAACACAGGCTGCTGGAGGCTACCCAATGCACTGCATCTGCCCAGGATACAGTATAAACAACTGGAGGCCATTTCATTTTATAGTTATTATTATGTAGAAAAAAAGGTTTTTCAATTTGTGTATATATATAATGTATATATGAAAATTAAAATGGGAAACGGGGACAATGTTGTTTTCAGCCATTTTATATATATATATATATATATATATATATATATACAGTATATATATATATATATATATATACATATATTTCCATCCATCCATTCATTATCTGACACGCTTGTCCCAATTTGGGTCGCGATGGGTGCTGGTGCCTATCTCTAGCTGTCTACGGGCGAGAGGCGGGTACGCGCTGGACAGGTCTCCAGTCCATTGCAGGGCAACAGAGATACGCAGAACAAACAAGCAGTCACGCACACACTCACACCTAAGGAGAATTTAGAGAAGCCAATTAACCTAACTATATATATGAGTTACTTGCCTGTGTTGAAAAAGTTCAGGCTCAGGATTTTTTTTGCTTTAATCCCTGAATTCAATAAACATTTTAGCTGAATGGAATCCATCTATCCATCCATGTTCTAGCAGTGTCATTGGTGACTATTTCCAGCTGTATCTGAGCCAGGTTTTTTTTTAACACCCTGAATGGGGTTGCCAATCCATTTTAAAAACACTGTCACTCTGTTTCTTTGCTTGAGAGGCAGGCAGAATTAAGCAGGGTGGCATTGTGTGCACTGCTAAAGCAGGAAGATAAACACCTCCACTATTTGTCATAGACTGTATCCAAGGGCAACATCTCTTTTTTTAATCAGCCAGTGGATGATCTGATGCAAATCATAGACATGTTCAGTACACTTGGGTTGCTGAACCCGAGCACTGTAGGTTTGTCCTGCACAGATGGAACAATGTCAGCACATAATCACTGTGTCTGGAGGGCTTCGTTGTTCTCCTCTGAGCATCTACTACATGCATATATATACTTGCTGTTCAGGCTGTAAATTTATATTGTGATGTCCTGGATCAGCTTCCCTACTTCTCTTAATAACCTTATTTCTGTTTTTGCTGTTTTTTTCTCAGGCGTGGTGTTCCACTATCGTGCCCCTCATGACCGGTATGCCTTGTCCTTTGCTGATGCCAAAAGGGTGTGCCTAGAGAACTCAGCTGTTATCGCAACACCTGGTCAGTTGCAAGCAACCTTTGCTGATGGATACGAGAACTGTGATGCCGGCTGGCTCGCAGACCAGACCGTACGGTGAGGAAAAACCCTAGCATATGTTTTTAATGCAGCATGGAACTCGAAAAGTATGGAAAACATTTTAAGTCTTTGTGTCTGGAAAGACAGATAAATTGGGTCAATGCATATCTGAAAACTTCTATCGAAAAAGGATGGATGTTCCAGATAAATACTATATAAATACTGTCTTATTATTTATACCAATTTATATCAATACTGCAATGAAATATATATTTTAAATATATATTATTTACCACATGTTTTGGAAACAGAACAGGAAGAAACAAAATGGCTGAAAGAAAAACCCTGATTGGCCTCTAGGTTTAAATGATGAAGGCAGCAAATTATAAACTGCATATTGTGGAACGTAGTTTTATTTTCCCCCTAAAACTCACTGCAGCTGCTTTCTTTCTCTGCTATTTCCCCTGCTGTTAAAATCTTAGCCAGATAAGATCAGTCTTTTTTGAAAATCAAGCAGCAGAATAAAGAACCCTACACAGACCCTATACAGAAAGGTAATTAAAAATACTTAAATCTTGTTATTTGAATTTTAAATTAAACTCATTGGTAGTCTGATGAGTGAAACTGAGTTTACTGTGTCTTCACCCTCAGAGCTGCCTTTCAGGAGCCTTGTACAGGACTTATTTTGTATTTCTTTCAATAAGCCCCAAAAACGTCCAGTAATACGTCGTCTCATTTTCTATATCTACATCCTTAAGATGGTAGACATGCTGCTTGTTGTGTTCCTGACAGCTTTTTCAGATATTTGCAGTGACATTTCTTTATTCTCCTAGTATTTTTTTTTCCTCTTTCTGTCCTGCATCCTTGCTGCGTTCACTCTCTAATTGGTCCAGATTCAAGATGTTCTGATGGCATATCAGCCAAGAGGGAAGTGTCCAATTAATTCAAAGAGAAAAACACAGAGAAACCCATTGTTATTTCTCCAACCATGAACAGAAGAAATGCAGCAAAAGCCACAACAGAACATGGCTGTATTGCTTCACTTTTAGATTGTGTCTTTGTTTTTATCCTGGAGAATATAGTTTATGGCCTTGTGGACGTTGGTGTGTGCTGTATATTTGCCAATATGCATTTATTTTCCAAGTCCCTGAATGCCAATTGCAATATATTAATCAGCTTATTTTGTGTGCCTCCTCCTCCTCCTAATAGAGCCGATGCTCTTGAGGAATGATTGCAAAGGTGAGACTCTAATAAAGATTGCTGTCTCTGCTCTTCAGGAATACAGAGTCATTAAAGGAACTCTGGATTTTACTGACCTCTTAATGACTTCTCAACCCTTCTTTCATCTTTCTCTGCTCCTGCCCCACAAAATCATTCACAGTTTTTTTTTTTTTTGGCTTACATATATGTCAAGAAACTTAAAAAAAAAAAAAATTCTAAATAAAACCTAAAGGCATCATTAATTCAGCCTGCTTTTGTGAGGCATAGATTTTACTTTCATTTTTGCAATGGTGTTACTGTTGTGTGTAGATATGAGGGGAAGTTTTTTATTCCTTTTTTTGAAGATATCTTTAAACGTACTATATTCAGAGTAGGAAATGATAAAAGTGTTGCTGGGTTTTCATCTTCTACTTGGGAGCTTGGACCCCTCCCTAGGAGCTAGGTCTATCCGCGGCTGCTTTCTTTTGTATGGCCAAGCCACATAAATCTTGCTCTTTCTTCTTTAACTCTCTCTGTGTTTGTTCCTACTACTTGGTTTGCTCTGCAGGTACCCAATCCAGTCACCTCGACCAGGCTGCTATGGTGATCGGGAGGACTCACCTGGTGTTCGTAACTATGGCAATAGGGCTCCTGAAGAGCTGTTTGATGTCTACTGCTTTGCAAAGAAGCTTCCAGGTAGGAGTTTAAATCATTAATTTAAGTGAAATGAAGCAAATAATTCCTAAGCCATTAGATTTTTATTGCAGGAAATTATAACATACTTAAAGTAGAGATGCACTGATCATAGTTTGTGGTCACACTGTAAGAACATTCTGAAAGTGAGTAAAATATCTTAGAATAAGTGTATTTACCCCTAATTTGAGCTAGAAGATAAGATTATCTGCCAATGTAATGAGCATTTTTACCCTTAAAATAAGATAACTGACTTAGAGACTGCAGTTGCTTTTTCTTATTTTAAATTTAAATTGTATTATTCAATTGGGGAACTGTCTCACTTACCTGCTAAATGTAAGAAAAAAATGAACTTGCTTTAAGAGAAAATGATTAACTCAGATTAACAATTTTTGCCATGGACTTCCTGATTTTAGCAGAGGGTGAGGCTGCCGATACAGATGGAAGCTATTTTTCTTATTTATATACTATGGTTGTGTAGGATTATAACAGCGGCAGGAGGTAGGCAAAATCACGTTTAGGTGAGTTTAATGTGAACAGAAAGACCAAAGACTTTCAGGACAGGAGGAATATTGAAGAGCAGTAAGGAAACCACTAGAACCATCTTGGAGAATCACAGCAATCTTCAAAAGATGACAGGTACAAGGAGCTGAAATGAGGAGGAAGGATAGTAGTAGAGAAAAAAACATCTCAATAGTAACACTGAGGTGGGACAGCTGGAATCACACATGGACCAGAGTCAGTAAGAGGGCAGATATGATAAAGAAAGGGATGAAGAACAACAACAGATATAAAAAACAGCTTGATGGGACTGAGCCTAAAGGAGAAACAAAAGGCTAAAATCATCCCAGCAGTGACTAAATGTCAGGTGGAAAAATTTACCTCAAAGGTGACGCAACAAAACTAACACAAAAGCAAAATTAATTGATGAAGACCTGCCTCCAAACTGAACATACAGTCCAAACATACAGTCAAATGCAGCCCTGACATAAATCTAAGCAAACTAATGGATTTCTGGGGAGATTTATAAAACATTTTCGATGAAAATTGACAATTTCACACGATTGGTAAACTTTATGAGAGATAGTTTATTATCAACCCCTTGTTTGTTTAATTCCATATTTTCTTAAGCTACAAGCTTTTAAATGTCAGTTTTTGAACAGTAGTTTGGGTTATAATGTTCACAGCAAATGACTCCCAAATCTATTCCTGCTTTTGGGCACATTAGTTACAGTTCAAAAAGTGGAAACTATTTCTCTTTTTTAGTTTATTCAAAATGGGAAAACTTCTCAAAAGAAAATGATCCCTCTGCTGCAGCTGTTTTGTTGTGTCTCCATTTTCTCTGCGTGTGATTACGCTTATATTCCCATTCTTCATGCTTTGCCAATCCCAGCAGCTTTTCTGAATCATGCAATGATGGATGGATGTCAAGTAATTCCTTCGAACACTTTTAGACCTCAAAGAGAAACTTAGCTCTATTAAAACTAAAAACACAATTTTGGCTGCTAAAATCCACGATTGTTGGCTTAAAACCAAGGTTTAAGTTGATTTATTATTCTGGGAAATGTAAAGCAAACATGCTTTAAAGTCTCCATTCATTTGGATGATATAAACTAGGACTGAAACCTCCACTTTCTCCATATATTCTATAACAAAATACAGGCTGGTTCACACGGCTGGCATTATTTAAACAGCAGTCCATGTGTGTCTCATAGAGAATATGGATCCCTCCTTTGACTCTAAGATTTTCAAATACTGCAAACTTTTTCAAATTTGACCTTTTCCACTGCACATCCTTCTGTAATGTTTAAATTAAGCTGTCATTCTAAAATATTGTACGGTAGATATTTCTCTGTTGAAAACAGAGTTTGGTTTTAAATGACTTCCTACATCTCCCTGTCACTGAAGATAGTTGACTTCAATGCCTCAATGTAGTGCTTTTGTGGGTATGGTGCTTTTTTTCTTGAGTAGTAAAACATTTTTTTTTCTCAACAGACAGGATAGATCAAACTAAAGATCAGACCATTTCCATCCTAACCCATGTTCTTGCTGCATCTCTTGTGAACAGGAGAGTGTCAGTGTATAAAAATGTTTGGTTTAAAAAACATTGTATAAAAGCATCAATCTTATTCTTATTGGTTTATTTGGCCCGTCTATCACCAACATAGGCCAATCAGCTAACCAGTATTTTCGCCCCTTCCCAAAATTACTTCAACTGAAGGTTTCCAGATGGATATGCGGAGCAAATCCATCTGGCGGAGTCAGGTTATGGTCCTGCTGCCAGGATTCTGCACAGCTGGTTATTCCAGCAATTCCTCCATCAAACCATAAAACAGTATAATTTCAGCTTGAGCAGTTTAAAGAATAATAATAATGAACTAAGCAACTTCGTAAACTTTATAAAGTACTTTCAAGGGTAAATTTTTAAAGGCAGCTCCAGAGCAAACAACCCAGAGCATATTCTACCTTAGATCTGATTCTAGTTGCTTGGCTGAAATTAGATGCTTGCTATTCTTTACTGCCCTCCTCCATACTTCAGAGCAAAATTATTATAACAGCAGGTTTTAAAACAACGCTGACCTTTTCAATGGTTTAGCTTATTTAGTGGGCTTATCATCAGGCATTGAAGCAGCAGGTGTCATCAAACTCAATAAAGTAAGGTAGGAGTTTTCTAAAGCTAGTTACACAATATTTATGCACCGAATGCTGAGATGATAAAGGAGCAAAGGTTGGAGAAAAACCTCAAGAGTTTATATGATAAAAAAAGGTAAAATATTTCATCAAATGACTTCCAAAATTACTGCATTTAATATTCATGTATGCATATTTATTCATTCTCTACATTTACCTATTATTGCTGGTGCTGAATCCCAGCGGCGACAGGTAAATGTTTGGGTACAACCAGGGAAACACATGCACCTGGTCTCACTCTTGTGTTTTTCAGAGACTCATTAACCTAATAGTCATGTTCTGTAATGGAGCTTTTTGTTTAAGGTATTGCATATGCTACTTTAGCTTGCTTCCATTTCAACAGAGCTTCTCTTTTATAACAACACTTCTTTTTATTTTTCCACCAACATCTAGACTTTCAGCCTTCAGATTTGAGTTTCATAGATTATTGTGTTGCTCTGCTGGTTTCTTCTTCCATAGTTGTTGTTGTTTTTTTGTTTTTTTCCCAACACTTTGTAGACGAGATTATATATCGACAGAGGCACAACATGTTCTTTCTTTCTTGACTATTTTTCTTCAGGATTCATAACAATATTTTTTGTAGAAAAAAATATGTTTTGCTAATATTGGTAGCTGTTATTTTTTACAAACCCTGGTGAACAACAATTTGAAAACCTAAATCCTACATTTTGGCCTAAAATTATGATAGCAAAATCATATACTACTTATGTATTATTTACCACCGCCAAGGAGGGGATGTTTTTAGACAAGTTTGTTTGTGAGTGCTTTTGTCTGTCTGTCTTCTTATAGACCGATGTAATTACATTTTTATCAGAGGTGTCCCTCATGCCAAGAAATAATCCATTAAATGTTGTTGATGATACTGATCATAATCTTAATACAGCATTGATTTTAAATTGTGAGATAGGGATATTTGGTTCCCCAAGCAGTTCCTCATGTAACCAGAGGGTGGCAGCAGTCATTATTGACAGCCTCAGCATCGGACTCAAAAAGTCTGAAGGCATTTTTACTGAAGAAAAAAACACACGAAAAGGGAAGGTTGTTGATTTGTTAGCAGGATCAACTGAGAAGCTTTAAATGGAGTTTATGGACTTTTTTTTTTTTTAACCAGAGGTGCGCCACAGTTTAAATATGGTAATGATACAGATCTTCTGAGAGTCAGAAGGTCTAAGTCAGAATAAGGGGCTAAATGTTCTGCTTGGCAGAATTCTGAGCTCTAAGAGTGACTTTCTAGTTTTATTTATTCATTACTTATCAATATGATAAGATAAAGTAACAAAAAAGCACATTATCAAAGGCTTCTATGCCATTTTTTAAAAGCTAAATCAACTTTCAAACCAATTCTGTCTCCATCTCCAGGTGAAGTGTTCCACTCCACAGTGCCACAGAAGCTGAGCCTTTCCACAGCCTCCACCCACTGCCACTCTCTAGGAGCACAGCTGGCCACCGTTGGGCAGCTCTACTTGGCTTGGCAGGCTGGCCTAGACCAGTGTGATCCCGGTTGGCTTGCAGACGGCAGCGTCCGCTACCCCATCAACGTACCGCGGAAGAACTGTGGTGGAGACGAGCCAGGGGTGCGGACCATCTACAACAACCCAAACCGTACCGGCTTCCCGGACACCACTGCCCATTTCGACGCCTACTGTTACAGAGGTACCCAGAGCTCTCTGCTGTATGATAAAGTCAATGTAACATCATTGTTGCAATCGCCATAGCAACAACTGTGGGGTCCAGGGAGTTGCTTTCCATTCTGACTTTAATTAGCACTAAGTATGTGTGTCACACATGAAGGACTTGGAGAAAGACTGTGACATTTGTTTTCCTCCTGATGGATTTGAGAGCTGGTATTTTTTGCGCAGAGGAGGAGGAGAAACAGAATGAGAAGACAGATGAAAAGAGGAGTAGGCGAGAACAAAGAACTGGGTTTCACATTTACTCTGACTGACCTTGTGAATTTATGATGCTCCAGATAAGAGTTTGGCAAGTTACAGTGTCTTAAAAAGGCAGTTACATGTCTTAAACTCTCCAGTATTTTGTCACTTTCCAGCTACACATATTTTTATTTATTTATTGATGTTTTTGGTGCTATAAGTAGATTGTAATTGTAAATTGGAGTGAAAATGACACTTGGTTTACCTTTTTTTTTTTTTTTTTACAATTGCATGTTTGAGTCGCTCATTTGTATTCATATCACAGCATCATGATCATCAGCAAGTGGGAGGCTTTTCTTTAGGGGGGACAGAGGTCAGGAAAATAATAGTAAAATGGGTGGAACTAACATAGGAACATAAGATTGAAAAGACTCAGGACTGTAGCAGAAAACAGCTTTAATAAGAAGGGTTAGATTAAAACATTGTCATATGCTGGAATCGCCTAAATTGACCTTAAATCCAAAAATGATATGAATTATTCCAAAGTGTGAGATTCTGGGTCACGTTCTGCAAAATAAGTTGAAGGAAGAGAGCTTACAGGTTCTCCAGTATCACCAGATATTGACAGAGAACCGGGCAATGCTGAAAAATCAGGTTTTGAAATATGTTATCTGTGCAACCTGACTGGGATTGAGCTGTTTTGTCAAAAATTGATTCACGAGACGTAAAACGCTGGAATACATGTTCACAATAAGACTGCAGCTGTAACTGTGGTGGAAGGAGGTAAAAAGTAATGACCCAGCACTGCTGAATACAAATGAACAGCACAATTTACACTATAGTTAAAATCTTAAAACAAAATCATCTTTTCTTAGTTATCGGCTACTTAGTTTGGACCTAAAGCACTAAATCCCCCAAAATAACTTGGATTTTAGGTTTCTGATGCCACAAAGTTTCAAGGCACTGTAGTTTGCGGTTTACACTGATCTGACTAAACTCCATATTGACATGGAGGAATATTACCTCTGATTTCTTAGCTCGGTATTGTTTATACCTTGCATTGACTGCTAAATATAGCAGCTTCATATTTGAGAGTGACATTTCCATAGACAGAGAAAAATGTCGGTTTCATCTTTCAAAGTGTCATCGCCAAAGTGAAACATTTGCATTACCTCAAATTATCTAAGTGAGTAAGATCAGCATGAAAAACTGAGCCACTGGGAATCTGTCAAAACAAACATTTGATGGATGGATCCCTCTGCACATATACATTAATATTTAACTCAAATATGTGCAGTAAAGTAAGACGATAAATGGAAACCGGAGCTTTTGAAATCAATAATTATTTGCATGAACTTTATTAAAATGTATTTATCTTCATTTGTCTAAAATGATAGGAAATGGTTGTGAAAATCAGATGAACTACAGACTTGTCCTCTCTGCAGTATTGATTATAATAACAGGTGTTATGTAGCTGCTGATACAGAAAATGAAGGAAACTGTGAATGTTGTGTGTTGCAGCCCATCATCCAGCAGCGATTCAAGCCTCTGAGGCTAAAGGTTTGGACCAGACTGAGAGAAAAGTGTTGGACATCTCGTCTTTATTTGCTGAAGCCAAGAGAAGCGACCCCTCTGTCAGAACATCTGTCCATTCTGACAGGTTCGCCTTCAATAGAACAGGAGCCCCCTCATTTAGTAAGAGCAATGACTCATCTGACATATCTGAGGAGCATGTTTTCATTGACTTGAAATCTGAGGAAAATTGGGATGAGAAGCACGATGGACCCAGAATCAGCCAGATGGATCCGGACGGTTCTGCTGAAACAGGTGGCAACGTCACTTCTAGCTTTCCTGACCTCGAAGCTGCAGAGAACCATGTGGAATCAGGAACCCCAGCATCATCCCCCTTGGCCTCTTCCACCCCCCAGCCTCAGGGAAGTTACAGTCTTCTCACTGAATTTGTTAACACTCTCATGAGGCCTTTTAAGTTTTGGGCAGGAAGCAAAGGGTCTGACAAGGCAGAGAGCAGATCCACAGCGCCAGAGGAAAAAGCTGCAGAGAACCAGACTGAGGAAGTGGCATTCAACAAAAATCTAAGTGTTCCCAAACCCATTGGAAACAAGGGCAGCATGGACAATGCCATCGTAGAACACAGAGGTGGCACTTTTCCCCTCAGGGCTCCTAACACGGGACCACAGAGTTCAGAAAAGGGGCTGTCAGAGCGGGAAGAAGAGCTGGTGCCTCTCATTAAACTGGTGCCGTCAGTCCAAAACGGAGAGCAAATCGCCAGCAGCGCTCAACCTGCAAGAGGAGGAAGCAGCTCCGTTCATGGCGACGTGGAATCTACTACGAATGGTGAGAACCCATCCTTACTTTTAAAGTGTCTAACACTAATCTCTTGTAACATGAAGTAACAAGCTGATTCATTTGCAACTCCAGCAAAATTGGTCCTGAACAGAAAAGGTTTGGCCTCAGATGGAGGCAGGATGCTTTCAATGCTGCTGGTTTGGGAAGAGTCTCCGCCTCTGAAATACTCTTCCTCTTCTCTTCCCTGGAATATCTTGTAATATATTCCTCAAGGGGACTATATGAAGCATTACAGGAAAGTTAATTAAACTGTACTCATAAACAAGCTAAATCTGTATGTATGGGGGTGGGGGGGAGGTTGAAATGAATATTATTTATACCCCATTGTCATACCTACTGACGGGGCTTTGTTTGCCGTATGAGATTTTCTCCGTCCAAAACAAAACAGACCTGCATCCAAACCTGCAGCTTACTCCTCAGAGTTAAAGATGCATCAGGCTTAAAAGATTAAACGCGTTGAATGAATTACATCTAAGCAAAAGAGGAAAACAAGGAAAAAGGTCTTTGTGAACCACGGAACAAAAGGGCTCAAATTGAGAAATGTGCGGATAGGAAAGGTTAACAGTTTGTCATTTCAGCTGACATATTTTAAAAAGGGCTCATGACTGAGATCCCCTCCACCCATTTATGAATGAATACATAGAAACCAACAACATGAGGAGTACTGTGGCCCTTTTTTCAGACAATGGCGACAAACGTCTGTGTTTTTTTTCATTATATAGTATACATGGTTTTTATTTGTTTTACAGAATCAAGACCTGGAAAGTATGGGTTTTATATTTCTGCAGTATTTCTCTGTATTTTGCTCCATGTATCTTCCTATAAGTTATCACCAGCTTCCCAGTCCTTGCTGCAGAAATAACAATAACTGTTGCTGCTTCCCTCATGTTTTATGATGAGGATGGTCTGTTCAGGGTCTTTCTGCCACACTGTTGCTGTTTTTCTTTCTTGAAATGCAATTTCAACATGAGACACAGCAGCACTTAAGACTTAATTTGGAAATCACTGTTTTAGAGTTTTCATGACATTCCACACATGAGAAACTTAGGGCAGATTTTTTTTTGTAGTTTTATAAATGTTATTAAGGCGTTAGTTGTTTTTTATGTGGCCAAGTTGTTCAGTAGGATGAGTTGTTAATTCAGAGTTGTTGTTTCTCTGTGGTAAAAGATTCAACCTTAAAGCTCTATTCTACAGTGAAAGTGTGAGGATAATCAAGTTTTTTTTTTTTTTTTTTTGGGGGGGTGGTTGATTTTAAATAAAAAGTAATAACATCACTTTCCCTTTTTACAGCGTTTTATGCTGGTTCTTTCCAGGTCGTGTAGAATCTGTAGCAGGTGGTTCTATGCATACATACATCAGGTGGTTTCTGAAAGTTAAAACATTCTTTAAAATGATAAAGAGATGTACTGATATTAGAACATTTTAATTTTACTATTTAATAATTAAGTATTTTTAAATGCATTTACTTGTGAATACATAAGTATTTTCCTAAGGTAGTACTTCAATACTTTATCTTCAGCAGGTACTTGACTGAGTAACTTTTACTTATAGTTGAGTAAGATTTGACTTTGAGTATCAATACTTTCAGTCAAATACTACTGTTGAGTACTTCGTCCACCACTGTTTAAATGACCTTAGAAAAAAAAAAAAAAAAAAAAGATTTATTCATCTTGAAAAGCTCAGCCTTATGTAGTGCCAAGTGAAACAGGGTCCTTTTAACAAGCTTTAATGCTCCCGTCCTTCCCTATCAGTCTAAGTGGATGGCCATGTCTTTGTAAAATGAACAGGCTTGCTTTTAGCTTCTCCACCTATTTGTTCCTGGCATGTCCGCTTTGTCCTTTGGTCTTTATCAGTTAAATTGTTCACTAATGTTTCCCAACTCATATCTTGGATCCGTAGTTATTCTAAGTTGGGCTGCAACTAACGATTATTTTGCAAATCGAATAATCCGTCTATTATTTTTACGATTAATTGATTGATAATCAGATAGCCAGAGATTCCTTAAGGAAGACTTTTTACAAAATGAAACCAGGTAAAACAAAAACTTCCACTTCAGGAGTTCTAGATAGAGCAGTTTAACAGAGAAAAAAGTTTTTTTTTTATCGTAAATGCGAAATGCAAAAGGTTTCTTTCAAAATGTTGGTATAATTACTGCTTTAAGTGGGTCGCTCTGTTAACTAAAGGCATATTTTACAGGATCCATTTTCTAGTTAATGATTAACCGGTTTCTAAAATACTTGACGATTATTTCAATAATCAATTAATCACTATTAATTTGATTAATTGTTTTAGCCCTAATTCTAGTATTAATTTACACTTGGATGAGTTCACCTCCAACTATAATTTGATTCGCTGTATTTTATTTAGGGGGATCATAATAAAGAGAAAAAATAAACATGCTTACCACACATTTTTGTTTGTAAAACATATAACAAAAACGTATTACTTCCTTTCTACTTCCAAACCTGTAATGGGTGTTAGTACTTTAGAAAAGCACCAAAATCCCCCTGAGGAATGTGCCGAATGTAATTCCAAGCCAAGTTTTTAGCAGACACATACACAGGATGAGGGTGCAGCATGGCCAGCAGCTCAGGAAGGCTGCTTTCTTCTAATAGTAATGGCAAACACAGCACACATCCTTGACATCAGCTGAAAGGAGAAGACAGAGATTAAGACAAACACTTTTACACAGACAGCTAGGAGGAATTATTCGATAAGTGCTTTGCTTTTCTCACCTTGCACTTGCTGGCTTTATTAATATAAATACTCACCGCTGTGAAACCTGAAATCCCATGGCAACCCCATCTCAGGGCATTAGGCTTTAGTCGTCATGCATTATTTACAGGCTTATCCAATTAACTGTTCACTCAAATCTCCATCTCCGTCTCCGCCAATTAAGGGCCCAGCTCCTCTAATGATCACTGTGGAGGGTGGGGAAAAAAACAAAGCCAGAGCAACGGAGCAGAGAAAGGAGAAAACTGGAGAGAAGAAGGTAAAGAGAAGAGAGGTCATGTTTCTTTAGAGGTGCTGTGATGGGAAGCTGTTGAGTTTAGGTGCCTTCCTCTGGATGCATCAGTTGGTTGAATTGTCTGCGATAAAACCCGGCATGATGTTAAGTGAATCGCAGCATTCCTGCAATTAAAGAAGTTTTTGATCTTGCTTTGCTTTCCCACTACACATTCAACAAGTTTAATGGCTTAAATGTCACCTTTTTCAAACCAATGGAACAGAATTGGTATTGAGGATTTTTGATTTCTTTAGAATATATAACCAAAAAAATTATCAAAAATTAGAGACCATATGAGATCAGTGAAGGGGTCAGGTTGATACTCTACAATGACTCATCACTTTTGATAAAACTGATAAAGAACCAGCAAATCCTAATATATTAATATAGAAACAAATGCAGGTTTTAGCATTTTCCCATTTGACTAATACCAAAGTAAAATGACATTATATATAACAGAATTATGTTTTTTTTTTAATAGGGCAAAAATATATACCACAACTTTCCATGAATTTGAGCAGCCTATAACACATCTATTTTAAGTTTTTTTCCCCCTTCATTTTCAAACTAACAAAAATAAAACAGCTGAACAAAATACACAGTGGCTCTTTAAAAATTACAAATGACAGGCGGTATAAATACAGTTTATGCAATGTTTGTTGCTCTTAACTTGCCTTTTTACCTCGACTGAACTGAAAAATGTCTCTCTGGATTGTAAAGGTTACACAGCCCTGGAAGAGTGGAGTCATTCAGCTAATCGGTGACACATAATTAAAAAAATAAACAGCATCTTTAAAGCAGTGAACTTTACTTCACCTACAAACAATTCACAATAATAAGTCAAAATATAAAAAATATCAGTTGAAATATACAAATAAGTAAGAAAGGAAACTGTGGCTAACATTGGCATAAGTAAGCAAACTACATTTTCCATCTATAGATCATTGCTATTGCTGTCAATCATTTTTACCAGATAGCAGAATTTCAAATTTGCTGTTTCAAGTCAAGATAAAAACTGCAGACTTAAATCTCTGCTCATGCTCCATGCCTCCTGTGAAGTCAGTTCAACTCACTTGTTTTTTTTATCCCCTGTCACTAGAGGTGCATTGCCCTCAAAAGCCTGGTTGGGTTGAACGTCAGACATGTTAGTTTCAAATAGCACTTTGCAGATTTTTACAATTCCTGTGAGAATCCTACTGATTGTGTTTCCCCCATTTGGAGAGTTTCCTTTGACAATGTCTGGGTCAGGATGACTGGTTGGCAAAAACTTTAAAAACTTTATATTTAGACAACTTCACAGGATAACCGTCCAATGAATGGTCAGACAAAGAAGTGTGTTCTTGCAGAAAGTTTAACTTCTGTAAAAAAAAAATATATATATATATATATATAAAATTAATAAAATCTCTGTTTCAGATGTTACTTCTTTTTTATGATATCCTTTATGGAGCAGATTCAACAAATGACAAATTAAATAAGAGGTTATAGGTGTAATAATCCATTAGCTGATTATTTAGATAACCTTTAAGGGTTTTCTATGTAGCATTTCTGGCTGGACTCTGTGGTGCAGAAGAGGTCTCACATTGAGAAAACATACATTCAGGCTAACAAATTATTAATCAGCCTGTGCTTTTAAATAGTTTTTAATGTCTGTTAAATGCGTTTTGGGCTCTACAGGCACTTCCATGTTATCTCTTAAAAAAAGCATCAATATTTCTAACATCAGCTCTGTCACGCCTTGTCTGAACTCATTCGATTGAAAAATGTAATGCGGATGCTCCTGACATAATTCTCTGCAATAAGTCCTCGATATATTTTATTAGATGCCATATCTATAGATGGTACAACGTTTCCCATGCCGCTTCCCTTCTTCCCTTTTTGTTTCTCTTCCATTTTCACAATTTAATATGATGTCTGCCTGACCCAGGAGGATCTAGCAGCCCGTTTACCCCAGTAAAGTGGAGTGAATGCGAAGCAAAAGCACTTACAGTGGAAGCACGCAATTACAGTCTGAAAAACGGCTTATTATAAGTTTGTTTTGCAGCATTTCTGCTTTGGTTTTATTTATTTTTTGTCCTTCTTAGTCTACAACTGACAGATTTAAGGTAACAAATGTGAACTGAACTAGTGGTCTAATCATTGAAATCACTCAAACCTATACCTAATTGTCTCGTTTTATTTATTAACGGATCATTACGTGGATGGTAAAACCAGATTAATGTGGTTCATTATTTCCACTTCCATCAGCGTGCAAAGTAAAAGTATGTAATTACCTATTTGGATCATTAATAGGGCAATTATGCCTGGCTACAAGGCTCTTATGTTAATGAACCCCACCTCATAAACCTCACTAACGCAGAAGGCAGTGGAGCACCTTCTGAATAATTTAAATGCAGTTTAATGTTTTATGCACGGTCATATTTGTGCAAGTCCTGGCCTTTTCACTAATTTGTTGAGGTATGCTGCTGTACTTTTTGGGACATATTGTGGAAGTCGAAGAGGGGCCGATGATGAACGCTCCATCCCTCGGTGCCACACACATGCAACTGCATCACTGCCCTAAAAAAAAAAAAAGAACCTCATAGCAGCCATGACTCACTCATGCAGACAGAATGAATTATTGATCATGTTGACAGAGTTGAGTTTAAAATATGTTAGCTGATAAGGCACAGTGGATCACTTCATCTAAATACAGAGAGCTAAGATGTAGCTGTCAGTGGAGCTGGTTATTTGGCTATCACGCTGCAAATGCAATGGATTGTTAATCCAGATTAATCTGGTCGGTCTCCTGGTCTGTCTTCCTGCTTGCTTTAGCACTGTCCCCTGGAACATTATCCCCTCTCTTCCAAGTGTTTAGCTGAATCTTACTCGATGTCACAATCATAACTTTAAAACAAAATGTGTTTCTTAAAAAAAAAATGTTCTTGACACCAGACACCTTCATGTCCGGACCAGTTAGCTTCACATGCACACCAGAAAGTATCTTGTGTGCTCCAGTTAGTTCCTTGTGCGCACAAGAAAGTATTTGGTGTGCAGCATTTAGAGTCACATTTGCATGTATCTTGTGCGCACCAGTTACTTTCTCATGCACACCAGTTAGTATCTTGTGCACATCAGAAAGTGTCTTGTGCACACGAGTTAATTCCTTGTGTGCACCAGTTAGTCTCACCTGTGCACCAGAAAGTATCTTGTGCACACCAGTTAGTGTCACCTTTTCAAGAACATTTTAAAACTGAGCTGTAAACATATACCTTTAATTTTTTTGGGGTTTTTTTGTTGCTGATTTGACCTCCATAAATGATCATCCTTACATTATAAAATTGTATTCATTAATCTTCTGTGTCTCTTTTTTTTCATAGAATTTCTTCCTTCGGAACCTATTGAAATTCCTCCACCTACTGAACACAGCAAAAGATCTGGTCTTCAGGGTTCCAGTCAAGGCAACGTCCTCGCTTCTGTCTCCAGTGCTCAATTCCAATGTGGCCTTACGTCAGTGACTGTCCCCAAACCAAGAATCCCAGGAAATGTGGCCTATTTGGATGAGCAAGAATCTTGGGGGCCAAAAGAAGCTAAAGCAGGACCTCTGGAGTTGATGACATTGCACACCTCCCTTCTCCAAGAGGACTTGGAGAACTATTCTGGTGAAGGCAAAGATCAGGATCCAGAGGGTGCACATACTTTGTCTGGCAAAGTCAGGGCTGTTTCAGGAGAGGATAAAGACATGGAAGGTAGTGGAAATGGGAACAGTTTTCTGACTGACTTTGAAATGAAAGTCAACACGTTGACTAGCAGTGGTGCCAAATTAGGTCCTACACCCAAAGCTTCACCCAAACTAGGCAGTTTTGTTACTCTGAGTGAGTACACGACTCTGTCTCAGTGGCTGCTAGTTAATCAACCCACCACCTCACCTCAGGGCACCATGGAGTCAGTCAAAGCTCTGGATGCCGAGGGCGATATCTTTTATGTCCACAGCCCAACTACTACGTTATCTTTGCCATCCTCTTCGCAAACACAAGATGAGAGTAAAGAAAAGGGGGCGGCTACCACGACTAAAGCCCTGCTGGAGAGCCTGACGACCTCTGAAGTCACCTCGGTGGAGACCTTGGCCAAAGAGCCACAAAAAGCAGATGCTATTACCACAGTCGCTACCATAGAAAATACTTCAGACACCTCTTATACAGGGGAACCGTCTATATCTATTTCATGGGTCCAGAAAGAGCAGGATAAGATTAGCGTACCTGACCAACAAAGTCATCCCTTGGTGACTATGAGGCCTACTAAAGGATCTGAAACTGGAGTCACCAATGCCTTCAAATCTGAGACTGGCCTTACAGAAATGGAATCCAGATCTGCAGTTACTGAAATCTTTGTTGTGGGAAATGATCAGACACCTTCCAAAGAGTTACAACAAGAAGAGCTCCGAACCCCAGAGACTATCAGCAATAAAGATACTACCAATGCGTCTGGAGGTCTTGATCCAGACTGGGCATTCGGCCTCTTTCCATCAGGTAAGTTACTTCTTTATTAACACTACATAATAAATCCATCATTAGAATCAAGTGATTTTTCTTATCAGTTTGAATTTATTTAACTTCAGGACTTTGGAAATATTTTGACCTTTTACAGAAATATTTTTATATGCTTAACCTAAATGTTCCCAAGTTTGACAAATCATGAATTGAAATTTTGAAACCCATTTTGTGGTGCAACTCCATTAACCTCACACAGTCCGATTCCTGCCAAGCACTAATATTTCTAAATAAAACATCTTAAAAAGGAATACATCATCCCTCTGTTATGTGCTTATCAGGAGGCCAAGCAGTCTTTGAGGTGGGACCCAAACTGGTTGAAATAAACAGGCTCCAAACAGTTTTCAGCTGACATGTCTTTAATTCTTTGTGGTGCAGCACATCAACCAAACTACAGCATCATCAGAACAATGGCAGACATGTTTTTTTTTTTATATAGAGGTGGAACTAAATAAGAAACAAAACATTATAACATTATATACAGCTGCAAAATAACAAGAAGCAAGAATATTTGTATTAAATGAACGGCTAATAAATACATTTACCAACCAAGACAAAACAGAATCCAAAGAAATGTTAAAATTAACATAGAAAACATAGAAAACACCATACATGAGACCAAACTCCCCTTCAATTATCTAATGCTGCAGTCCTGTGCAACCCTGCTTGGACAGGGAAATGGCAAAGATGATTATTTTAGAAATTAAACTTCACATTTTACCTCTTCAATACACATATTTCCCTATGAGGAAGAGTTATGGAATTGATAGAAATATTGTAAAATGAGGCACCCCCTAAAGAAGTCACAGGTGAAAACTTTGAGCTCCATGATGGCTAATATTAAGATAAATGATGGTCTGTTTGTACCCATCTTGCCCTAAATTAATTTTTTATTATTATTCAAAAATACAGTTTCTACCGTTTTTTTTTATATACCATAACGATTAGAGATGAATCTCTAGGCTGTGGCAGTTGGTGTCCATGCATTTACTCCTGGTGACTGGGGCTGTGCTGAGAAGGAATCAGTTCTTATCAGTGTGATAATTTTTTAATGAGAATGAAAGCATTAAGCCCAGGCAGGATGCTAGGGCTTATGCATACATCCTGAGTTCAGGGTTCTTTTTAAATGGCTTAAAATTAAAGCATCTTTTTTCTTTTCTATGGTCTGTTGTTTCATTTTTGCAAACTCCTGCTCTGACATGGATTTTTATTCCAGCCTAGTTCTCGTTTTTTTTAGCCTTCTTTTTCTTTCCATTTCTCTCACTCCCACGCTATTACAGAGACAGCTCCAGACAGCAATGCACTGCACTGAGGTGAGACCAACTAGGTCTAAAGCAAGTAATTACTGGGTCAGAGTGAGTGCAATTAGATGAACTTGGGAGCGACAGAGAACCTAGTGCCCAGCAAATCAATGCAGACACAACTAGAAGACGGGACCTGAAATTGACTGTGCTTTCTGCTGCTTTCTGCTTTTCCTGTTTGCTTGTTTTCACTCTGCCCCATTTTCAGTGCTGGCCTTAACCTTTTCTCTCTCACATTTTTTGTGCACTGAGATGGAAATAGTCTCTTTTTGGTCTCAGTGAGCTTGCTTTATTTTTTTCATTTGACTCAATAAAACTGAATCTGTTATAAAGTAACAAAAAGTAAATTAACAAAAGTTGTTGTCCAAAATCAATGAATTCATGAATGACTTTATTTAATACAATCCAGTAAAAATCTACAAATGAAAGACATTCAAACATTATGTAGAACTACTAACATGTATAATTATGTCATATGTTTAATTTAGTGCTTATGTCTGCAAAGGGATATAAAGAAGTGAAACTCATTTCATTAAACTCCTTCACTGTCTGATAGTCCTTAACAGAGGTGTCAAGTAATAAAGTACAAATACTTTGTTACCTTACTCAAATAGAAATTTTTTCCTTATATATTAAAAATAGATTTGTTAGATTTGTTTCATTTAAGTTTATTTTCTTTATTGTCTGTTGGTTTTTAAATAAATCAAAACATTCAAAATAATTAGTTTCATCCAGACATTAATTTCTTTGTGGTTTGACTCGGTGCGGCCCTTAGTTGTTGTTCCCTAAATACCTAAATAAATAGTTTTGTCAAGATAATGCACAGTTAAATTTTACACTGTTGCTATTAGTTATAAAACAAAGAAAATGTAGTATAAGGAAGTTATCATCCAGAACTGTAGAACAATTTCCTTTAATAGGGTAGTGCCGAAAAGCTTTGTTCTTTAGCATTTTTTTCTGCATTACTTTTACTTTTATATTTTAAGTAGTTTTAAAATGGTACTTTTATACTTTTACTTGAGTGTATTAGCCCACCATAAATTGTTTAAATGTATTTATTTTTACTTATTTGTACAGCATTGGAAACATCATGCATGTCTGTTTGACCTCCTGCACACCATATTAAAATAAACACACAAAAAAAATACATATTTTTCCATTTCCAATCATTTTTGAAAAAGCTCCAGGGGGTGGGGCATCAAAGACCCCTGATATAGAGAATTTCTTTTGAACACATAGGGGAGGCAGTATACATTTACACAAGCAATTAGTAGGACAGAAAATAGGAGAAAAAAGAGATTAATTAAAATTAAATAAATCAATTAAAATAAATGACTTGTATATCAGTTAATTTGCATCAATGCTTATGATTAGACATTAATAATAAAACGTATTTCAAACAAAACGGGGAAAATAGGGGAAAATTAATGTTTCAGTCTATCTGTTCTACACCTAAGTTGAGTATATTATCTACTGCCTGAAGGGCATAGATTAGAAAGGTGTGTAGAAGGTGGTTAGGAAGTGCCAAGACTTTGCTTTTGGTTACTGATGTTGATTTAAATAGGTCAATAACAACATGCTATCATTTCCCTACAATGTTTCTGCTTTCTTTGGTTACACTCAGCAACTGGTCAGTTACAACATACAAGTAAAGAAATAACATAAAATGAGGGTTCAAAATGGAAGAAAAGTCAAACTGAAGAATAAATGCAGAGCAGGGAATTAAAGAGTTTCAACTACTTTATTAACATGGTTGATATTTTTCAGGGTAAACATTTGTGTTGTTTCTATTCTTTTTATTCTATATTTGTTTTTGGAAAGCTTGTTTTATTCCTTTTGATTTCATCACCTCCTAGATTTTGAATAGCCCTTCAGTTAAGACCTAAGAATCATTTATACACCTGCTTTACTAACAGAATGGAGCACCCTCTGGTTTTGCTTTTGTTTGTTTTGTGGTTTTTCCAGAGCAACCCTCCTTTGTTAAGGAGTGTGTTCATGTTTACTGTGCCTTTGAAAGAATGTCTGAAACCACCTAATAACAGCAACCAGACAATATTCTGATTAGATCCTGGTTTCAGCAGAAGGACCGAGGCCAAACACTGTTCACATGGTTTGTTCCATACAGAGAGCCTCCACTTCATATATCCTATATACCTGTTGTTGAGCCTGACTGTGACCCAATATGCAATAATTTCGTTAAATGAATGTGTAAATATGTCAGACTGATTTATTAACAGAATGAAAACTGATTTATGCAACCAGGTGTCTGAAAATCATTTTCTGTCCTTTATTACATGAAATAGTTAACATATCGACCTGCTTCTGGTGACATAATTAAATTTAACAGCCACAATCAGGGCGATAGAATGTTTTCCTTTTATCCAGCTCATATTTCACTTGCAGCTTGCACAGGATAACAAGCACATCACCTTCCCACTGTTGTTGTTTGTAGTTTTCTGTTTTTGGTTCAGTTCAGTTTTTGGTGCAGACTTGATAACGGAGAGGGCAGCAGGACAGATGACTCTGGGAGGGGAAAGATGCAAGTCATGTCCTCAACAATGCTGTCTTTATGACAACATAAACCTGTTTAATCAGTGATGACAGATTCCACTAACGCACTGCAGTGGGTCTACAGAGGCTATATTGCTTCTCTCCATCTTGCCCCTTTTTTTTGTCATGTCTTTTCCAGCTTCACTCATCATTCATTGTTATCAGACCAGGCTCAGGCCCCCTCTCTGCTCTGTTTGGGAGAATATTGTTTTGATAAGATCCTGGACTGGTGCATAACTCCACATCCACCTTTTGCAATTCCCACTGCGGTAGCCTCCAGCTAAAACACCACACAGCGGTTCACACGCACACACGCATACATACACCCACTCCCTCACATTACACAGCTGAATCTAAGTAAAAAAACACAAGCGAGACAAACTCTGCCGGAGAAAAATTCAATAATTTATCTTATGTGTGACACCATTAAAAACAAACACAGAAACACACTCAGAAAATCCCTTTTTTTAAACCCCGAAAGGCATTAAACACATTTCATTTGATATTTCTTGTATTATAAAAAAAATAATTTTGTATATTGTACAAACCCAAACATCACATTTCTCAAAGTTTTTTTGACAGTTTGTAGAAGTTATAAAATTGATTCCCCATCCAATACATGTTCGCTACGATGGAAATTTACAGCAAGGAGGGTAGGCAGCACTGACATCTAGACCCTCTTGGGTGATGAAGCAATGCAGGGGCATATAGTATTATTGGCCATCTATCTAGCCTGTAAATTACTGATACCAGTCTGACGCTCTGGCAAGTAGGGAACAGGATGCCTCTGAGTTATTGTCATCTTGACTAAAGCCTTGTCCCAGACTAAAGATGGATCAGACCCCTGGCAACATCAATAACACGGCAGCAAGCCCACAACTAAATTAGAGTGTTAAATTTGGAGGAGAGTCCATACGCTCACTCTCTGTGTCGGGATGTGTGTGTGTGAGACGTAACAGGCTGTGGTGGCAAATTGTGAGATTGGGTCTGTGGATGGATGCTCAGTCTGTCTGTTGGCTGGTGAGGACCTTGCATAGGAGCAGGGAGAGGGCATGTTCTCGACGCTGCATATAGAACGCTATTGATTTTCCAACATCTTTCTCTCGGTTGCTCCCCTCTTTATTCCAC